ATATATATATATATATATATATATATATATATATATATATATATTATATTACGTTCTCAGCCACTCATCCACATTATGGATAAGTCGGACGTGCGTTTGTTCAATTTTGGTAGCAAGCCATTACGTCATTATTCGGAGGGGACACGTCATACGGATGCGTTACTCGTTCCTTATCGCAGATTCCTCTTTGGCGTGGGTTATTAGATAGAAAACTGTTTTGGTATTCATCATCAATGTTTCCTGCAGTGACTTTTTTGTTTTTGTCTTTCATTCAGTAAGACAGATCTCCGCATGCCAAAGTATTTTTACTGCAATCGCTCACTGTTTTAGCTACTTCAAGTAGAGCTTCTTGTACAACCAACACACCACCATTTACACGTCCGTCGTCGTCTATCTCAATCAATCCCTAGAAGAAGAGCTGATCCGTGCTGGTAGCTTGAAATCTGAAACATCCTCCCACGGGATCGTGGTCTTGTAGGCAGCTCATATCGAGCAGCAACTCGCAGTCATCCTCCTCGTCGCTTCTGGAACCGCTGCCCACTCCCATCATCATACTGCTGTCCAACGCCCCGGGGAAGTCTACATAGTTGCCGCGCGGTGCTGCAAAGTTAAGGTCGTCCTCCTCCCGGCTTTCCTGTGTGACTATGTTAAACGATGTGATCATCGTCTCGTAGCACTCATCTCCCATGGTGTGGTCAAGCACAGGAGGAGGTGACGATCCCAAGCATCCATGCTCGTTCTCCAAGCTGTCGCCCATTGGCTTCCCTTTGTTCTTCTGGAAAACTCGACACAATACCCAGTCCTCCTGTCAGAATTACACACAGTTAAGCGATCAAAAGGACTGCTTACATAACTACAAGCAGCATCATGTGGAGGAAGGTTCCTATCGATTGCTAGATCTATTTCTTTTCTTCGCTCCGTCTTCATTCGCACTTAGTTGTTTGTGACGTCTAAGAGAACAGAAGCCTAGTGAAAGCAGTTCCATCAGTACCTTGGGAGGGCTATACGGTGCTTCCAGTCGGAATTCATGCATGACCCAATTGCTCTTTACCCCGTTTGGAGCTCTTCCGCTGTAGAAGACCAGAGTCTTCCTCATCCCTACGACGGCGAGGGTTGTGGGTTCACAGACAGTACGGTCTTTACCTGTGGCCTTCCAATATCCAGACTTTGTTGCTCGATTCATGCGTAAACCAGTGGCATATTTCCGGTCCCGGAAGCTGAAGAAATACCATTCGTTGGTGCTGAGCTTAGCCACCTCTGACCACATCAATGCTCGATATTAGTGTCCATAACCAAACCTCAAAATATGTGGGCAAAATACATCTTGAATGGTCTGTGTTAGATTGAGAAGACAAGACAAATCCATGGAGTCATTCTACTCAAACCAACGTTCTTTCAGGTTTCTGGTTGGTAACATCCTTTACGTTTGCTTTTCTTTTTCTCAACAGGAAACTACATAATTTACTAAGAAAATGTTACTTCTTTTCGAAGGGATCAGTGGACAAACTCGTTGACACCTTACAAGCACAATGTAACTATTAATAAACTCGAGTTAGTGTCAGTTCATATCTACTTGTGCTTAAAGTCTTTACCAGATAAGATATCTGTCTGTCTACATTTACACACGCACTGAATGGAGTTAAAATGCCATTAGAAGGTTTAGTAATGCCATGGGATCATTGTATTTATCCCAAACCTAAATGGAATCAAAATGATTATGATTATACTGTAACAACAACAACATCAACCATAAATTATAGCAATAGTTTATGAATATTTTCATCGACAGTTGGAATCAGTTGTGATTCTGTGAGGTTATAGTAGGATGTTAAGTCACGCAGGAGCAAAGATGGCCTATGAATGCGATCTATTTAGTTCTCTCCATTTTCTACACAAAGAAAAGGCTAATATGTGCATATTTGGATCTTTCTACAACAGATATAACTTACTAAGGTATATGTGCGTATTTGTATCAAACTTTGTTCCTAAGAGACGCTAAGTTTCATCTTGTTTGCTCTGTGGGAACGATGAAAGAGAGAAGAGCACTGAGAAAATAATGGAGCGAAAAGGTAAAGAAGCATGCATCCACCTGGAAGTTCCCATGGCTCGCGAGTGTGCAAATCCACCTCCACCAGCGTACCTCCTAAAACTCTTTCATTAGCCACTTTCTTGTACAAGTAATAGCAAACCAGCTCCTCGTCGCTGGGGCAGAACCTAAACCCTGGTGGCAGCGTGGCTTGGATGTCTCTTAGACCCATCTTTCTCTCTGTGCGTTCGTATGAGTCAGCGAGGGAGACTAGAATCAGAAAAAGGAGAAAGAGAACAATTAGCGATTGGAAAGGCTTAAATGCTTTCAGTTGTAACACTGCGGAGGCATATTTATAATGGAGGGGAGTTGAGGCTACGAGTTAAAATGTATATAGAGTTGGATAGGTCGCCAAACTGCCTTTACTGTTTGGGAGTGCCGTCGGCGTCATCATCTGGAGACAGAGATGGCGTGCGCCGCTGTCCTGATTGATCCCACAGGGATGAACAAAGGTCCCCATGCTTGCGTAACGAGAACTTGAGAAGAAAATCCTCGGCTGCAAGAAAACCCATGGATAAGACAGAGGTGGGATTTATTAGCAACACTCGATGATCAGCTGGCATATGTAACGTAAATAAGGAAATTTAAGGTTGTCATCTCAGGATTAATTCAAATGGAGATCCAAGGAAAATAATGAGGAAGAACATGGGCCGTGTATGTCGCTAGCAGAGCAATGCTGGCTGTGCTTATGATCTACAGAAAGCTTCTGTGCCACCTGTGCGTCCATCCAAAACTCGAAACAGAGTTTTCGGGAAGCTCGGAGGACCTGACAAGCAAGCAGTGAATTGACCGCCAAAGATAGCGGAGGGTAGGAAGAAGACATGCACGTGAATGTAGTTCACATGAATTTATTGGTACAACTCACCATCGCACACCTCTTCTTCTTCTTCTTCTTCTTATTCTTTCTGTCATGTTCTTGTCGAGATGTTGACGATTTGTTCTTAGGTTCATTAAGGTTCTTCTTGCTTCAGATTTCTTTTCTGTTTTTGTATGTAGTAAACGTGAACAAAAGGTGAAACTTTGGCAAATAAAGATTAATTATTAAGAATTAATCTCCTCTAAAATTCAACTGGACAGGTAGTCTGCTGTCTTCCAGTCTTGGAAAACCATCACATTAATGGAAACCCTTCTTGAGAACGAGGGGAATATGTGGATAATGAATGAGATGCGAACGTTGTCCTGATCGAGAGACAGCCATGCTGTGTGCTATTTTGGTGGCACTGTCCAATCATACGTGGTCATCATGCAAAAACAAAAAAGTACAAATAGTAAGAAATTATTGTCTGATTCGCATCAGAAAAAGAAAATATTTTCGCGATCCAAAAATAATTCTGAGTCAAATCGATCGGATTAACTTATCAATGTGAAATTATTCTTTTCTTTTTTTTTCATGTCATATAAAAATTAAATAACGAGCCTAACTCAAGCTTATGAGGAATAATAATAATAATAATAATAATAATAATAATAATAATTAAAGTACACAGTCGGTGAGCCACGGAGAAGCCACACCTGAAAGCCATGTCAAGTATCTCAATGGTGTTGCCAAAGCATCGCTGGCACTTATGCATCCCGCAGCACGGCAACCAGTTGACGCTGTCCTTCTCGTCGGTGACGCCAATTGATACTACATGCACATCAACGTCCATTAAAAGTCAAGAATCATATAGTAAATCTGGAAATCACACTGTGCATTTGTTAATGAGGATGGGAAAACGTTTTGGCAATCAATGCACCTCTATGATTGGAAATTCTAGGGTTCTCCTTTTGTAGATTGCAGGTGGTTGATCTTGTGGAAAGAGTGACGCCTCCACACTCTTCTTTCTTCTAGCAATCAACCTTCCTCATCAGACTAAAAATTGTAGTCTCATCTGTGGATGATGACACATATCTCCTCTCTGCTGCATTTTGTCGTTTGCTTCGCCATCCAAATCATAATCATTTAGATCACCGTGCTAAGATACGTCATTGACAACGATCAAACTGTAGAACTCCTCGCTCTGTAGTCGGGAGAACGGGCTCGACGACCGATGGATCGATAAGGTACGGCAGCGATGTATTGAGGTGGAGGAAAATTCACATTCTATATAGCCTGTACTTGAGGAATAATAATTAAGAGCTATCGCCAACCGTGTCTTTATCGTCACAGTACTGCAAACATGCAGCATTTAATGCCTCATGGAAAATGACGTGGCTGTCGGACACAGGATCTAACAAGAAACGGTCCCCGGGGGTGTAGAGGTGCCGGGAATCTTCCACCGTTATCTTGTTGGATATGCATGTGTCCACTGTGCAAGTAAATAAAGGAAGCATGCAAGAATATGTTCCATCACTACAATATTTGGACATGAACTGTGAAGAATGCGATGATGATATTTGAGTGAGAG